ACTCGGTGGCCTCTTCAACTGCATGAACAAGTAGCTTCGGCTTATGATGGCACGGTTCTTAAGGGCGCTGGCGCTGTTAATTATCTTCGGCTCTCTGCCCTCCTTTCTATCTCGTTGTATTGTTGTTTCGAAGGTGCTATGTATCTCGGGGTAGATGAGCGGTCTTTGCCGCTGCCCCTTGGTAGGTCCATCGCCTGTGTATAGACAATTTTTCCGGCTTTTTGGGGATCTTTGGTAGCTCCTACCTGCCTTCTCCCGAAGCCCTGAACGCTATGAGGCGGTTGACCTTGTGGCGCCAAAGACATATTGGAGGGCGCGGTCACAAGCGATTCCTGGAAGCTGCTTGGAGTCTATCCGTTGTTCGATGTTGTTTGAGAAGACGGGGGATGTTCGGAATTAAGGCTGGCTGTGTGGAGCATAGCTCAGCTGATTCATTTGGCTCTGGTTATATTCGTACAAGCCTTGAAAGTCGTAGGTGGCAGTTGCAGAAACAGCTGTAGCGTCCGTCGCTTTGATAAGGCAGTTAGGGTGGCAATGGTAGTGGTAATGCTTGCGTACTGTGAGTGGACGAAATCTTGCACTGCCTTTGAATATTCCAATCCCCGTATTCGCTTTTCAACATTGCTTCCCGGAAGACTCCGACGCCGACTTGTTCAAATGACCAAACTGTTGCACTGCCTGGCAAGCAGCAGGTGCCAAGATGTACTAATGATAAAAATCAGTGCGGGCGCATGTAGTTAAAGATTTGAAGATAGTACCATCCGTGTAACACATGACATCCAGGCCTAGGCCCAGGCCCTGTGTGTCTGACTCCACGGACCTCTCCCAGGTTTTGCTTGTCACCTTCGTCGTGTCGTCTTTCGACTTCCTGGTGCTCCAGCTCGCAATGAGCCCGGTGTTGCTGCCAGGATGCGTAGCTGTGTCGTGGTAGTGGTCCAAGTAGCAGATTCGGCCTTATCAAATTCGAGCCTGCCGGATTGAGTGCCAGGTAGTGGCACTGTGTTCCGACAGTCCGCTCACGTGCTTCGGCTGCAACTGCTAGCGACACCCGTGAGAAAGGCCACAGTCAGACCCATTCGAGTCGACCGTCTGCCGCTGGTGGAATAGACGGAGCTGTGCCCTGCAATCGAAAGCTACCCAAGACTTTAGCATCTCGCTTGCGGCTTGCGATCGGTTGGCTTCCTTTGAGGTTGGAGGACCTTCCTCCCACGATGGAGCTCTACTGGAACCTTGGTGGCAAGGCGATGAAGAACCTCTTCCACGGACAGGCGGGAGGCTTTGGTGATCTAAAGCTGCCTATCACGAATCCCCCATGCAGAACTAATATTATTCACGCGTGCACACAGTCTGCTGAACTTAAAAGTCGTTCTGTGATAATGACATCTGACGGACTTGGTCATGGCAAACCAAGTTATGCAACATAATGTCCGTGAGCACGGTCGATGCCTCCTGTCGCGATCCTTCGGAGCAGGAAAACTATCACTGGGGCTTCTTGCTGCTGTTCGCTGTCAAGAACTTCTTCTTCGCTTGCGACTTGGCTGGCGAGCGACGCTCTCATGCTTGGTGCGGCTTAATTACCGTGAAAATACTCCCCGTTCCGCTAACGTCTCAAGCCCGAAGCAGTTGACACGTAAGGGGATGGTAACAGCTTGGAGTACCTTTCTGTGAGAGTCTTTGCAGTAAGGATCCCTCACTTTACCGGCTCTCCCTCCCAGGTTGGAACTATGGAACGGGGGTCCCCAGTGGCCTTTTCGTTCCTTCTCTGCTTACTGGCGCCGCCTTCGGGCGACTGGTGGGGCAGCATCCTGCACGCACTAGACAAACCTCATTTTCCTCACGAAATCGAGGTCCTTTATATCCCAAAACCAGACTCTGCTCATGAAGGCCCCTCCTATATCATTGTGCTTAGCAAATTCTGGATTGATTGCCGTGCTCGAAGCCAAAATCATCGAAAGCAATGTTAACAGAATTCTTCTGAGGTTAGTAGCGGTGCTCAGAGATCTTGACACAGACGGCAACTCCCCGTTCTCGCAACGCAGCTGCAATTGGTGAAATATCTACGGTCGATCTGCAGTTCAAGCGGTGCCAGGCGTTCATTTCGCCCGGCTGTAAATGTGCACAGGTTTCCGCGTTGCATGTCGCACGTGGTCTGGACATCGTATGATTGTGACAACCCCCTGAAGCCCAAACTGATGCGAACCTTCGTAACAGATAACATCTAAAGAATCTAAAGTCCTGAATCGCTATTTGAGAGGAGCCCCCTGGCCTCAGCTCTATCTGGTCCGACACAAGCCGGTAGGAATGAGCCCGTACAAAAAAAGCACGCACACCCGAACCGTCCGAAGTGTTGGACTTGAAAGTCTCATGCAGGAGTGTCCTGCGTTTCAGGCCTTGGCACTTCCCTTGCTGTTGCTTGCTCAGTAGTTGCCATCAGTAGCAACAGCGCTGTTGGTGTTGCGGCATTATGTAATCATATGGAATCATATGGCTTCAGCTCAGGTTCGTCGCCCAACCTGGTACCTACGCTCTCATCGGAGCTTGCTCCATGCTTGCGGGCACGGCGCGCATTACGATCTCCTTGGCACCTTGGTGCTGGCTGTTGGTCTTTTGCAGATTCCTTAGCTTTGTTAAGGCTTCAAAGTTTACTGGCACAAAGAACCTTTGATACAACGCTGCAATGAGGTTTCACGCGCCCGAAAGGATGACTCCAAAAACTTTCCCTGAGTTTTGTCTTTCCTCGCCGGGCGTGACAAGACCATGGAAGCTCGCAAGGCAATGATCCTCATGGAGACCAGTGGAGAAGCTGAGTTTGGACTTCCAATCTTCCTTTCGGTTATGGCTGCTCGGCTTGCCCGCGACCATCCACCACCACCCAGAAACCACTAACGACCACGACGACAAAGCCGATGTTGACCGCAACAACAACAACCACGAAAGCAACAGCCACGACAACCACACCCACACCACCACCGCCACCACCACCACCACCACCACCACCACCACCACCACCACCACCACCACCACCACCACCACCACCACCACCACCACCACGGCTACTACTACTACTACTACTACTACTACTACTACTGCTACTACTACTACTACTACTACTACTACTACTACTACTACTTCTACTACTACTGCTACTACTACTACTACTACAACTACTACTACTACTACTACTACTCCTCCTCCTCCTGCTGCTGCTGCTGCTGCTACTACTACTACTACTACGACTACGACTACTACTACTACTACTACTACTACTACTACTACTACTACTACTACTACTACTACTACTACTACTACTACTACGACACCGACTACTACCTCTTGCAGTACTGCCGCCGCTGTTGCTTCTGAGGTTCCTCCTTCTAGGGTCAATCATGCTCGTTTGCTTCACTTTGGGGCACGTGTAGCCTCACGGCGACCACATCCAGAGCTACTCGTATGCATGCCTTGCCAGTGCCAGTGATAATGCCCACTTCGATGGCATCCGTAGGAAACTGGCATTAATTGCTGGCCAGTGATAACGTGCACTTCGACCAATTCCTTGGGACACTCGCCGCCATGCCTGGCCAGTGAGAATATCCGCTCGAAACGGGGCTGTTCCCCCCGCTGCCTGACCTGCAGTGAGGTTGCGAAGTGGGTTGGCGATCGCTTCAACAGGCGAAGTGCATACGCTGTTTTTCAGATAGCCGGGAGCGGCATGAGCGCAGGTCTGACGATGATAAGGATGCTCACGAACAAGGATCCTCAAGCTGAGCCTCAAAGCCCTGGACCCTACAGCGGAAAATCGGCCAGGGGCATCTACGACTTGCATATCATCGAGCTCAAGCACATTCCATTTCTGGAGCAGAACCCGGAGAAGGAGATGATTCCCTTGCAGGCATGCTCAGCTTGGGCTTCGACAACCCGTTTTCGAAGCCTGAAGTTGCCTCCACGTCTCGGCACGGTGAAGACATAACATGTAATATCGTATACATACCGAGGCGAGTGATCACAACAATCCCCAATGTGATAGTGATCAGAGCAGTATCGATTCAGTCCTGATCATGGTGACACGAGGCTCCAAGCGCTTCGGGATTTTGCGGTTGCTGCTTTCGGCAATTCAGAACGGCCTTTTGTTCAACTCAAAGCACAGGATGGTAGTACCGCGGGTGCAGCTTCTGCAGACGCTTCCTAGTCTGCCGTTTGATGGTCTCGGTGAGGGCGAGCATTCTGGCCAGAGCATACCGTTCCACGAAGAGTGCCGTGGGTGATGTCTTCATCTATCGAGTCGAACGGGCGGAGTTCGTCAGGGATGAGCCGATGAGCCCTGCTGCTACCCTCCATATGCAGGCTGCGCCTTGCTTTTCAGAACCCCCAAGGAGCAAAGACACTCGCTGAGGGAGCTAGAGTTTGTCTAGCTGCTGTGAGCATCTGCAGTGAACAGACAGAGCCCGCTTGTCGCGATAAAGGCGGCAGACCTCAGGCTTCGCAGGCCTTGGACCCCTTCCACTCCGAACTCGCAGGCCCGTGACGTCATGCAGCGGAATGTGGTGACCCTGGAGCTCGTTGAATCTGTCTCCAACCTGGTCGAGGCTAGCAGACGACGGCAACAGGGGCAGACGCAACAGAATAATGAAGAGCAGATGCGGCAGCGACACCGCAATGTAGGCATGTGTTTCGTGTTGCTTCTCGTTCTGCCATGCTCTTTGCAAATTCTCCTATACTGCCTTTGCGACTTCAAGGCTTCTGTGTCAATCTCCGCCTTTTGTGGGCTCGGGCCGGGGTGGTCAGACTTGAAGCGGGAGCTGTGGATAACCGCGGACGGACTTCTCTTTGCTGGAGCCAGAGCCGAAATTGAGAGTTTCCGAAAATTGTAATTAGGGGTATCTTATTTGGTGGTCCTTATAATCAGGATCTTACAGTTTAGGGTACTGCATTACGGTCCCCTATTTTCGGAAACTCCCAGATTGTAATTCATAGCAGGAGTAAGACTAAGATCCTCGCGGGAATGGCTATGGTAGTCGCAATCAGTATCAACGGGTATCACTGTTGTCACGTCTGGTTCCGTTCCTTCACTTTGCTTGCGGGAATCTCTGTTCGATAGCATAGGTTTGATTGCCTATTGGGCAGGCCTTTGCAGACACTTTTAGAGTTGCTCTGCAGCCGCAGGTGCTTGCCGGCGAGAATCACCACAGCTTTCCGGCGCTTTGGTGTTGCAGCCTCCAGAAAACGTTTACTGCTGGTGTGCAGATGCCCTACCCCAAATCGGGTCAGCTCCCGCCTCCAGATTTACTCTTTCCACACTTAAGGCTACTGTCCGCATTCTTGCTGGTACTCCTCTGTCTGACGGAATCGCAAAAGCCCACGCATCGTGACCACTCTTCCGTCTAAGGTGCTCTACCCCGGCACGAAGCGCGTGGCGGGTATGCTGTCCCAGTCAGTCCTGCGAAGGTGGGCTGGCTTGGTTTGCAGAATCCTGCCATATTAATATGGATGAAAGCTACGTCAAGTTGAGTAAGACGTGCGATGCTGTCGCTCAGTTGGGCAAGGTATCTGCCAGACATAAGCATGGATGTTTAGGGGGTTTAGAGAGTTTCAAAGTGCATCAACTGGCACATACGTCGGCCCCCGGTACGAACCATTCCTAATAACCCGACACCGCTTATTTCATCCGTGCCTCTACGCGTACGAAGAGCATCGTCTTTTTGGGCTTGCGGCACAAGTACTAAACTGAACCCGTGGCCTTTGCATCCACTACGTACGGATGCTGTACATAGGCCTCTGTGGACCCTTCGAGCAGCACTTGCCGTGCTACTGTCTTGGAGCAAAGTGCTCAAGAACCCGAAATGCCGACTGCTGTGTTTAAGATGCCGGAGGCGTTTTGAATCTGGAGCCGCGTAAGTCGTAGGGGTAGAGTCTTGGGCCCTGAATGTTCATGTGGCTTAGTTGCTGTGTTGATTCCGTTTCATCACAAGAGAGGACGAGAAACACTGCGCAATTCAAGATGCAGTCTGTGAGAGCAGAATTCGGAAGAAGAAGAGGACAACATCTCTGCGGGCGGCTAATTACGTACAGTACGAGTTCATTCTGCTGAGCTTCGCGTGTGTGCATGCTCGCACCTATCTGCAAAAACGATCAAAAAGGCATGTAAAGCGCATGCACGCGCTGTCTTAGATGCGGTTTCTCAGTGTCTGCCTCTGAATCTCCAGAAACTCAAGTCTCAAGTTAAGCAGGATCCTGGAACACGGAGAGGATTCGGGTCTCTTCGTGGCCCATGGCGACCCGGCACCAACCAAGCACATCTCCTGGCAGAAGATGCTTGGCAGCTCTTTGCATCGACCACCGCTGTATTACGGTTGATGATAAAACTCCTGCATTACCTTAAGGACCCTAATCTATGGGAATTATGGTATATTCCTAATTATGGGTCATGCAGAATGTCTATCATCAACCGCAGTGCTGGAACAAAACCCGATATTCTTATATGCGAAAATCGCCTGCTCTTCGTCGCTGGCAGGCAGGGAAACGTGAGCACTGTCAGGATTGCCCAGAGTTGCTCAGGATGCTGCCCTCGATGCCCTTCAGGCAAGATAGTACTTGGTGGAGTAGGCGGTGGTATATGCGGTAAGTTGGCAGACGTATGATGATGTTGATGTGCACATCTGAGTGGACTGCCTCAGGGTATATAAAAGCTGTTTCACGTTTGCACCTCGCCAGGTGCCAGACACCTGCAGAGGTGCGGGAGCTAGTGGCAGATCACGTCGAGAAATTGGTGGACCTTCGGCACCTTGGCTCGACGTGCTTTGATCCTCTTGTTACTTCGAAAAGTTTCGGCTGCAACGTGAGGCCGTATGTGAACCGAAACAGCCTCTTCGTTTTAAAGAATCTCGGCTGCATGCACAGTCCCGCGGTGTCTCTGTTTTCCCAAAGACTGCGTGTGCATGTACCAGCCTATCGTGCCTGAGCTGTCATCCTGCAGGTATACTTCGGTTTGGAACTGCTACAGGCTTTTCCGCCAGCTCGGGATGAGACATCTTGCTGCAGCCCGGCTGAGCTTGAAAGGTCACGTCAAGCGGAGTGGTCGCTGGGCGTGGTCCGAGCAGACGCTGTCTTGTCGCTGTTTGCAAGGTGCTCGGTCGAGACGGAAGTTTGGTTGGCATCATCACGCGCAAGGCCCGCAGCATACTGCGGATTGGACGAGCCTCTACAGGCAGAAAAATGCAGATAGGCGGCTGACTGTGGATGCTTGGGCAAGACAGTCATCCATCTAAGCGCCATGATGTAATATGGTTCGTGCAGGACCTCATCCTAGCAGCGGAAGCTGCTGAAGAGGTGGCGGGCAGGGTGAACCGTGCGCTTTCGGCTTCTCGATCGTTGCAGTCTCGTGCTGTTTTCCTCCATTGGTCGTACGATCATCAGGCAGCTGCATGGAGCAGCCATACGTTGATGCAGTTGCGTTGCAGGGTGAAGAGACCAGCGATGATGATGAGGACGCTGCAAGCATGAAAAGAAGGAAGTAGGTGGTATCCCTGGCTGATGGGGCACCTCTTCTCGGATACAGTAAGCCTCTCCATGCAGCCGCCCTTTTATATGCAACGTCTCGTGAACTTGACAGGACCAGTTCGACGAGGAGGCACTTGCATGTTGCCTGAAAGCTGAGGGGCGAGGTAGTGCCTGTTTGATGAACATCGGTGAACTTAAATCCGCATCTGCCCGTGGGTCCACTTAGTAACTTACTTGTAGTAGGCCGTATAGGCTGCGGCTATGCCCGGTGGATTTTCCTTCAAGCCCCTAGACAGAATCGTCAATCATATCAGGCGCGCAGCGCACAGATAGCATGCCAGCTTCGCTTGGCAGGCGAGATCGCCTGAGATCAACTTCGCTCCAAGTCCTGGAAGCGACCACGAAGAAGACGGAATCAGCTCCCGATCGCAAGAGTTGTAAAATGCTGTAAACCTTCGAGTTGCATGAATCCCGAAAAGCCACCCGAACAGCCCAAAGCCTCAAGGCTTCGCGAAGCGGAGAAGTCCTAGAAGAATTCATTTGTCGGGTCTTTCGTCTCGTTCCGTTCATGATGAGGCATTGGGTCTGTGCAAGGTTTCAGATCTCAGTGCGGTCCCGTCTGTAATAGTCAGCCTTTCTGATCTCAACCCCACTCGTCATCGCTAGATCCACCAGGTTCCCTTGTACGCATCAACACCAAATCTACGACGCGTTCGAACACCTCCGGGCTGTCGCAGCGGCAGCCTCTTGGTGGAACTGTTTCGGGCAGCAGTGCGGTTGTGAGGTCCGTCAGCTTAAGGAACTGAGAGTACGTATCAACGGTAGAATGAAGAATCATCACAGAAGAACCTAGAATAACATTCAGTTAGAAGAACAACATTAAACATCAAGTCAAGCGAAGAATCCACGAGACCTCAGCATCACCATCAAGAGAACGGCAACAGCGAAAATCTTCTAGTGATGGGTGAGAGTGTGCCATGTGTGCGTTCCGCATCATTTATGTTTGCTCTTGTCTCTACCATACCAGTAACCTATTCAGTAGGCTACTGGCTGGTGGAGACGATAAGGTCTGTAGGTGGATCAACAACCCGCTGTATAGGAAACTCGGCGCCCGGGGTAAGCCCAGTGTGCCGTTTCCGAGGTTGAGCGAACGTCAGTTGGAGTCGACGACGGGCGGCATGGGCGGTGCTGGAATGTAAGCGGTTTAAGAAGGAAGCTGCATGCACCTGTATTGTAAACGTTTGAAATCATGGCCTCTGGCAGCTCTTTCGACCGACTTGTTCTATGTGTGCCTCCAAGCATGTATACTTGGCTTCGCCAGTTAGGATCCAAAGAGCAGTCGGGTGCCGCTGAGCTTCGTTCCGTCGCTCACATGCTTTTCTCTCATCACCAGCATGTCAGACTCATTCAGCATGGGTGGCGTGGGCGAAGTTCTCATGCATTCACTTGCAGAGACATGAACGTTTGAAGATCAGCCCGTCTCACCTCTATCAGTTTGCCACTAACCATATCTTCAGCTCCAGGCAAAGAGGCGTCGGATGCTGCCGGACCTGCATGGATGCCGCAGCAAGCGAGATCAACGAGTCACAAGTGCTTGGATAAGATGATTCCCTGATGGGTGCTTTCTCCCAAAGAGGTAGGTACCCCAGGCCTGCACCCACAGCAAGCTCTCACTTCAAGGAGCAATGTAGCAGAACTTAGTTCCAAGCCATGCAATATGGAAGAAACCCAACGTCAGCCGGCACAAGATACACGGGCCACGTACAAAGTCGATGACAACCAGGAATTTAAGGAATCCGTCCCAGCCAGACTCCAGCCGCTCGTGCCATTAAAGCGTCGGGCACATGTTGTTTTGCTTCCCCCTCACCCCTTTTCTCTCTCTTTGTCTCTCCCTCTCCCTCTCTCTCTCTCTCTCTCTCTCCCTCCCTCCCTTTCTCTGTCTCTCTTTGTCTCTCTACCATTGGTTAAAGCAAACATGTTGTGCGGACTGTGTGGGCACCATAAACACGCACATGCATGAATGCTTCCGTTGAATGCTGCCTCTTGCTGCAGATTCGCCCTGCCCGTCGAGTGGTTGGACACGGCTCTTGTCGGCTTTTGTCTCAGTGCTTTCGAGTCACTGAGGCTTCAAGGTCATGCTGATTCTGGGCCTCTTCATGCAGTGCCATTCAATTTTGCGATCGAAGGAATCACGCAACCAAAGCCCTGCACACTGCACAAAGTTGCAGCCAGACTCTAGGGCGACCTACATGCGAACTAGATGCATCTTCGCAAGGCCTGCACAAGAACATCGAGATGCACTGCTACCCATCTTCGTCGAGCATGACCGCAGTGATCTCAGCTAATCCGGGACGACCACTTATATAGCTTCGTTTAGATGTTGTGGGGTTCTTGTTCTGACTCCTGGCGGCCCGACCCCTCAGCCCAGGTGCACTGCACGCTGAAAGACAGGCATCCGACGTTATTGCGGAGCTTTTCTTAAATTTCCATGAGAGTCGATGGGAAGCGTCCTTTGCGCTGTGAATTTGCATTAGTCTTTTTGTATCGCTGTGCGTGCGTTTTTTTCCATTTGCGGTTCTGTGTTGGAGGGCTGTCAGCGCTCGCTCTCTCTCTCTCTCTCTCTCTCTCTCTCTCTCTCTCTCTCTCTCTCTCTCTCTCTCTCTCTCTCTCCCTCTCTTTCTCTCTCTCCCTCTCTTTCTCTACATATATGACATACAAAACACATCGAGAATACTGCAGTATATGCACTGTAATGTTGTAGCAATTTCTGTGCGAGGGTATAGTACGGTACAATGTAACATACTATGAAATCTGATGGCATGGATTGATCTGATAGCCTGTCATCTTCTGATACAATGCAAGTATAGCTTAATCTTCACATAGTCCCAGATAGTAGTTCCATAGTATGTATATGAGTATAAAATTCGGTAACATTGTACTTGAATAGACGGTAGGATCATATCATGTTATGTGTTATCCTATCATGTCATATCAGATAACAAAGATAAAGGAGAAAACAAGATCACACAGTCTAACATATTGCAATACAGCCGACTGCAGTATTCTTTCAATCCATACAGCATGACGTAACATTGGAAAACATAATGTAACATACCGCAGTGTAGTATGGCAGAGTATCGTATGATGCATCACAAGACAGTACAGTATCTCACAGTATTATATAGGTTCTAACATAGTACATTGCACTTTATACACCATACAATCACGGTATAGCATAAGATGCAGTGTAGATTGGCATGGTATAGTAGATAAAGCGTGGTATAGTATTCAATGTAATATGCGATATTCCAATATAGTCCGGTAGAGTACTACACATATGAAGATGCTGAGACATGCTGTGATGGAAGGTACTGTAGTATAGCAACATCTTCCGTTATGTAGTCTATTACACTATATGTACGTGTATTTGCCTTTTATAATGTTCTCTGATTTAGCACAGTGTCGTATCATATGGGGTAATCGAATGGAATATGGTATAACATCGTACAGTTGAGTATATCATGACTTAGGGTGTATAACATGGTATAACATCATACAGCGCTGTGTAGAATTTGTTGTAGTTCATTCCTTTCAATAGCACATTAATATAATTTAACATATACTAAAATGTAATACGCTATACAATCCACGAGAAGACCACATATCTAATAAGACACACGTGTACACAATATAGCATGATGTAATATGACATGTTGTAATTTAATGAGAATAGAATAGAGATGCCATGTCAAACGATCTGCTATAGCTATGTTATTCCTTGTATATTTTACCGGACACTACAGTATAACGTTGTGCCATCAAGGGATAAAGCATGTTTCAGTAGACTACAATATCGGTAGAGTAGAGCAAGGTAAGGCACCGTAGAGTAGAGTATAGTGTGAAAATTATCTGTACATGTACGGGTTTATGTCTATGTATATGCATGTGCCTTAGTACAGACACACGTATGCATACTCTTGTCGTATTGCATGTATATGTAGAGCGGGAGTTGTATTCCTTCCGCTTCGACTGCCGAGATCATTCTGCGATACTGAGCATGAGCACCATGCCGACTCTGCCCTGTCACGGAGGCGCTGCTTATGGCTGTTTTCGCTGCTCACGCGAGAATTTCGTCAGCGAAGAGCGAAGAAAGCGGTTGAGGGTTTGGGGTTTGCCCTAAAGCCTTCAAGCCCTGAATCCTAATCAGGTTTCAAGACATTTCGTCAGGTGCATTGGGTGTGCTGTCGATTGGCTCGGACGTCAACTGCCACCCCATACATTGCTTACATGTGGACAGTTGCTGATGTCAGTGCACTGCCGATGTGCGCATGCGTATTAAGCAGCACGGCTTCACGTTTGACAGATGCTCCGTGGCTGTGCAGTAAAAGGTGCATTGGCCCCGATCTTTTTGTAGAAGAAACATGAGCCTGCAACGCCGTGTGGATAGAGTCGGTTAGAGTGTCCACAAGGACTGCCCAGCTAAACTTCTGCAGCCCCGGAAAAGGACTCACGATTAGCCGTCCAACAAACCCCGAAGCGTTCAGACAAACGCAGCAGTGCTCTGCAGTCAAGAGCGCTTGAGCCATGTTCGTTCTGTGGGCCAAAGATGGACCGCCCGGAAGTGGCAGCTCCAAGCCCGCGACGAGCAGGCTTGGAAGGAGGATTTCTGACTTCTCACTCTAAGGCTCCATTGTTGGGACATGCTTCGCGTCAATCTTGTTTTTGAATGTCGGTTGCCGCGTCAGAACCTTTGATGCGCCTGGTGTTGGCTGCTCAAAAAGAGCCAGGCAATAGGCAATGGTGCAGTGCTCCTGCTGCATTGCGCCTCAGGTCGGCTTCCTCTGGACCGAATTCAGGAGATCAGGCTGCTGGGTCGACATCGTCAATGGCAGGCGCGGCTATGACTCGAGTGCCGCAGCAAGCCGGTAAGGCAGATCAGCTGCAAATCACCTCTGAGACTCAGAATTGTTTGGTCTTCGGAGTCCTTGCTGCCCTGACAGGAGGTGTTGCGATTGCTGCGAGACACAAAGGGGCCAGCGCTTGGGCCCAAAGCCTGCACCTCAAAACGGCTGTAGGCTCTGACAGACTCTGGCAGTGAGCCGCTGCACTCGTGACAGCTCGCGGCTCCTTGTGCTTGGAGATTCTCGGATCTTACGCCGTATCCGATGCGGTCCCGCATTGATCGTGTGAACGATGTGCAACAGTCTGAGCTCCCTGGAATCTCGACAGGTTCTCAGCGCCGCCATCTCCGCCCTTCGCTTGGCCTCGCAATGGCTGAGTGCCCTCACACTCCTCCACGAAGCTTGGAGGTGTGAATTGTGGGACGCGCGCTTTTGGGAACAGCAACAGTTGCGTTGCTTCCGGCTGGGGCTTCAGGGCCGCTCGTTGTCTCCCATCACAACATCATAGTCATCGTCAACATATCACCCTTCCTTGTTAAGTGAAGATGGTGGGGGGACCTAGGTGGGGTTCTGCACTTATGGCTTCTGCACTTATGGTTCGTGGGCCCAGGGGCGAAGCAATAAGTGAAGATGGGTTTCTGGAGACGTATGTTTTCGGTCGTTGGAATCTGTGCTCGGATGTTGGCGGGGCTATCGAAATCTCGGCCAAAAATCGGTTTAGACCCAGCAGTGCTCTAGACGCATAACTTCCATCCCGAGGCATATGTTGACATGTCAACATAGTAAGTCTTCCCCGCATGTTGTGGAGCCTCCAAAGTGCCAGCGCCTCAAAAGCAACGGATTCTGGATGGTGTGAAGATGACGCCTGCTCTTTACCACGTGCCAGGCGGCGCGAGAGTCTCGACGTCGTGGTCGTCTCGTCTGCCCTTTCCGCAGCCGAACGCGGCGGAGCCTGGCAGGCCTGCGGCGAGCCACCAGAGGTCATGTTGATGCACATTTATCAGAAATACATGTGTAGACATTCGAATTCACGTACATAAAACATATGTATGTATGTATGTAAGTATGTATGCATGTATCATCCATGCAGGCAGGCAGACAGACAAACAGACAGACAGACAGACAACGCACACAGACAGACAGAGTTCTATAAAAGTACGATGTGCTTCCATCGGCTGCAGTGCATGTTGTGGCACAGCTCACAAACCACAGTAGAGAATCTGCCTGCGCCGGCCGATCATAGAGCTGGTATGCCACCTAACGCAGGAACCTAATTAAGAAAACCTGGGCCTATAACCCCGATATAGTATGATATAGTAGGGTTCATATAAGGAACCCTAATAAAGGCCCAAGGTTTCTTAATCGGGTTCCTACATTATGCCACCTAGCTGCCATTGGACCTCCTTTGGATGAAGGGCTTGCGGGCTGACTGTGGGAATGGAGGTGGCGCTTTCCCTGCTGGAGACTATGGAGGACTGGAGTATACGTGCGACACCCGGCAAATTTGTCCATGCCAGCGTCTTCAGGAATTAAACAGTTTGGATGTTGCTGCGCAGAAAGACTCAGAAGAATAGTGGAACCCGACATCACCGAAAGCATGCCCCAATGTGGCCTACACGAAACTGAGGCCCTGATGTCATCGTCTGCAATGCAGCCATGACTGCCTGCGGCGCAAGCAGCTGGAATTTGGTGCCACGGCATACTGGTCTCTGGTTTCCGTAGAGCAAATCTAGATGGCTTGCGTCCCAGCCCTTACACTCGACGACAGGCTTTTGACCGGAAGAAGCTGTTGCAACCTGGTTCTGGTTGGTCTAGGGCCTAAGGGCTCAGGTACTACAGCTTCTCGACTCATTCCCATCGAGGAGGCTGACACCTGATGTGTCTTGGTCGCGACAGGGCTCATCCGCTTTCTAGTTATTCTAATTTAACACTACTTTGGAAAGCAAGTCGGTTCAAAGGTCCTCAAAAATGAGCCTCTAAAGGCTGAAAGGAACCCTTACAGGAACCCTTCAAGGAACCCTTGAAGGAGCCCTCAAAGGAGCCCCCAAGGCAGCCCTGAAAGGAGCCCTCAAAGGAACCCCTTAAAGGAGCCTTTACAGGAACACTTAAAGGAGCCTTTATAGGAGCCCGAGCCCTTAAGCGCTTCGAACCAGGACCCTCCTTGTACCCTCAAATAGGGGTATATGGTCCCAAACAAGGGGCACTTAGGCTCTAATACAGTAGAAGCCAGAAAGTTGGAATATCATTATCGTAACCCCTTTAAGGTAAATTATAGGGGATCCTACCATTAATCCATATCCCGACTTTCTGGAGTTCTCTTTAGAGGGTTTAGGAAACCAGAGGTCATCTCTTTCTCGGCGGCTGCCACCGCCTGCCGCTCGCAGTGGCAGGAGGCCCAGCCGCTGACACCGAAAACGCAGTAGAATAGAATAGAGATGTGAATAGAGCAGAGTCTTATATGTTATGATGTCACATGATATGTTATGGTTTTCATAGAGTAAAACTGAGTATGATAAGTTATGATATAGAACAGAATAGAGTATTATATAACTCAATCCGAAGCTAAAGCCAAAGCTTGTTCAATCGCCCTTCCTGGGGTTCACACAGGGTCACAAGGGCCATCAAGGGTTTGCGGGGATTGCGTCCGGTTTCAGGATTTAGGGAGATTTTACATTGTCTGTGCTTATCATGTTCTGGGTAACAGGAGCGAGCTCGAAAATACGTCTACACGCAACACTGTGGATGTGTTGCTTCACTCAGGACTTCACGACTTCACGAAGCGAACGTGTATGGAGATGAGGATGTGTGTGTGTGTGTGTATACTATGTACATATGCGAACATTCGTGTAGAAGGACGTGTATGCATACGTACACAAGCTCAAAAAACAATTTCTGAACCCAGGACCCCGAAAGCCCTACACTAAACCCGAGACCTCTACATTCCACAACAAGTCTTGAATCCTCAACACTCAACCCAGACCCCAAAAACACCCTAAGACACCTCAAACCCGGCCACACCCTTTCGGTCACCTTGTCCTTCATTTTGGGATCCTAGGTCGCGTGCTGCATTGACGCAGTAGTTATGTCAGGGTCAGAGCGAATACAATGTGACAGGGAAACTAATCGACGTGTAAGCTGAGTTTTTGAGCCTTGTCAAGATTGGGTCTGTCAAAGCCCCAAGCCGAACCTGAATCTATGAAGTTCAGCGCCTTCGCTTATCACTGCATTGTCCCCCGCCAGCCCTGGTCATAGACCCCATGGACAACTTAGAATTCTGGGGCTTGTGTGTAGTTTGGCATTGAGGGTTCTGATCCTCTGATATAGTGGCCATAATAATTACCAATACTATTGTCGGGGTTCCTTATGACATTTATAGTATCATGGGCCCCCAAACCCTATTCTAATTATTAAGGCCCCTATATACTATAGTACCCTTATAGATCCCCTAAAGATGCCTTTAAGGGAAGCCTATTCTAATTCTTACGGCCCCTATATTACCTGTTCGAGGCGCTGAGTTGCCTACATCGTGCACTGGAGCAGTCCCTGGCGGGATGCTCAGGATGGCTCCCAGACTTTGGGAAACGGCCTATACAGCTCTGAAGCCAAGTGCATAAAATGCCTCATGTCCAAGCCCCGTGCATGGCCTACAGCACTTCCAGATTGGACTGATCTGCCAGTGCTGTCGTTCCTTGAACTGCTGTCTGATAACTGCTAAGTTGCTATTATGGTTGTTGCCAATCGGCACATTGCTACTACTGTTACTACGTTTAGTGTAAGCGTTGTTAGCATTGTTGTTACTACTGTTGTTGTCTAAAGATGATGACTTCGAAGCCTCAACTCGAAACGCTAATCCTAACCACCCTGAACCCCAGAATCCACCTTAAATCCACCGTAAACCCCAGAATCCTGGAAATCCTAGAAGCCCTAAACTACGAGTTCTTAGTCTCTTACGGTTGATGATATAAATCCTGCATGACCCAGAATAAGGAATATACCATTATTCCCATAGTTTAGGGTCATTATTAAGGTAATGCAGGATTTATATCATCAACCGTAGTTCCGACCGTCCTTTGGCCTCCGACCGAGGCCCCGGATGCGGCTCTTTGGAGCGCCGTGGTCTCGGCGTGCGGTGATGCCGGCGAGTGGCAGAGGCAAGAAGGTCCTAGGCTTTAGTAGGGATACTACAGTGTTTTCCGGCGGTTTCAGGGTGTTTGTGATTCTAGGTTTTCGAGGGTCTTAGGTTTCGAAGCATTTTGGGATCTTAAGGTCAGGGAGCCGCTGAACGAGCGTTGTGGTGTTCACCGTGATGAGACGGATGGTGTCCCCGTCACCACCGTCGGCATCATCTTCATTGTCATCATCTCCAATCTTGCCCCCCCCCCCACTCCCCCAAAAGACCAAGCTTTTAACACTAGGGCACTATGGATGAACGGTTGATAATGCTGGACTCTGCTTCTTCCTTCGGCAGCGAGGTCCAGAGTCCAGAGCCTCCCTCCCAAACTTGCTTGCCCAAGTCTCGAATCATACCATCGGCAGTCACGGCTTCTTGTTCAGAAGATCGAAGTTCAGTATGCTATCAAACCTCGGCATGACGCTCGGCATCGTGGTTCGGCTCGGCAGCTCATCCGTGTCTGAGAAGGCTGAAACACATGTAAGTGTCGCAGCATGTTACTGAGACGCAGGATCAACAAGGACACGGTGCGCTTTGGTGGCAGTTCCGGGGCACTTCTCGGGCTCGAAATGTTCTTCGGTACTGTACTGCCGAGTCGTCCGCAACGAACGGCCAACCGGTTTGCCACTATACTATACGATAGCGGAGGACACGTGGAGCATGGATATGCTCAGGCCAGGAGGACGCAGCCACTGTCAAAGAGTCCGTCGCCTGCGACATTCTTCTCGATAGCGGCTAGGTGCCTTGATGGCCACGGTGGCGACCTGGCGGCTGTTGCCCAAACAGTCTCATGCCACGAGAACTGGAGGCCAATGTGGCACCGTCAGGTACATCATCCGGCACGGTCGTGTGCGGGGCTCTTCTCCTGCTGTTAAATCTTGGGGGACTGCCGCGGAGTGGTTTGCGAATCAGCGAATTTGCCGAACGGTCGGCAAACTCGAATTACAGTCTCAGGAAGGTGCTGGCTAGAACGCCGTCTCAGGAAGCCGCGGCGAAAGAAGTCCCAGCAGCAAGGCCAAGAGGGCGGACAATGCGGCAGTGATACCCGATTTCCCACAAAGGCTCTATGTTAGGCCGCCTCGGTTGCAACCATGAGCAATAATCCTCGGTGTACTCCCAACTGAAAGCCCTTACAGAATCTCTGTAGCACTTCCTTCATTGCAACAGTATCGATAGCACTAGTAAAGGAAAAGACTTTCCCTGGTACGGTATAGTATTATAGCAGATTGAGCCGTCTCCACCTGTCTCCATGCAGGGCTTTGCTGATCTTCAAGACTGCGCGGCACGTGGATGCGGGGGATCCTGGTCTCTATGCGGCTGCAATAGGTGCCTGTCAGGCAGGGGGGGCCGTCAGGGTGTCGCGGCATGACTGGTTCTAGAATAGAAGGGCCCAGAGAGCCCAATACCCCTTAATTAAGGAGTGTACCTCAATTTATAGAGGCCGTAATATTCTGATTTAAGGTATATTCCTTAATTCAGGGGTATTGGGATCTCTGGGATACCCGGGTTGCTGCTAGGGACTGTTTGGCTCCCCGACAGATCGGAGCTCAGTGGCAGCTTGGCCTGGACTTCTTGGCAGAGATGCGGCTGGCAGGCCTGGCAGACAGCTTCCGGGCAAAGTGTGTCAACAAAAGCGCATGCTAGTTCTGCATTAAGGTGTGTTGGGGATCTCAGCTACAGTAACCAATCAGCTTTACCACTGGGAGCAAGTCTCTGGATCTGGAAGGCTACTGCATATGGCATAGATTTCAATAATATGAAGACGTCTCTCATACTCGTGATATCAGTCATAGTACATCTAGCCTTATTCCTTGTGAATACATCAGACCTTCCGTCGCGACTGTAAGTGGGCTAGTAGAAACGACTCAAACAGAACAGAAGGGTCAGATTCAACAGCCTTTCGCAAGGTGTTTCAGAACAGCCCGGCCTGAGGAAGAGGACCAAAGATGTCCAAGCGCTTCGGCTTGTCAATGTGTGGGGCTTTCTTAAACTGACGGGCTTCTGCACAAGAGTCTGTAGCATGAGGCTCCTGGAATTTGCGAGTTCTTATGGAGGTCACTTATGTTCTGAAGCTCCATGCCGGCTGGGCTGCTGCATGCAGGGGAATGTCATGCAACCCTTAGGCGATATTGGCCGACCTAGAGCCAAACCCTAAAGCCCTAACACCTTCCGGCAAACAGGCTCCTCCGACGTTTGAGCTCTTTACGCTAGCCTGCAGCCTAGGCAGAAGACGGAGAAGCGCCCTCAAGCAAGAACCCCCCGTCCCCGGCCCGCCCCACCCAGCACACCAAAACCACGGCTCGGCATGTTTGCCTTTGTTGGGATGCCTTGGCCTATCCATCATGAACTTTCCTTTAGTTTCGAAGTTCATACCAGCACAAGTTTTAGCACAGTGCCCCGTCATGTACTTAGACGAGATGATGTAATACAAGAGTTGATGTTGAAATCACAGCACCACATACAGGTCAGTGACCGGTTGGTGGCTTTCGGTGCTGCAATGAGTGCTGCGGAACGGCGCAACTGGCTCCGTGGCCCGAAATCTTGTAAGGTGCGGCACGCGGTCGCCATAGTCCAGCAGAGTAGTGAAGCTCATTTTTTGAAGTTTAGTCCTCTTAGAGTTTCCGCGGAAGCTTTTGCAGAAGACTCATGAACCCCTAAGCCCTAAACGCTAAGACCCTAAACCCGCGGGGCTAGAGCCGACCTGGCGAGAGCCACGGTGCTAAGCAAGAGGACTCCCGCGAGGACCCGGGTGCATGAGTTGGTGGCAATCCCCCTACAAGCAAGGTCAAGGCAGGAATTCCACTCCCGCAAGCAGCTTTGGTAATCTGGATGCAATGGCTAAAAGACACGAGGGTTCAAAAAATGAAAAACCTAAACCCTAAAACCCCAATTACCAAACCGTGGTTTAGCTTGGCCTCAAATGGAATCCAAGGTTGTGGGCATTGCGTCTGGCTGAAAGCCTGAGCCAGGAGGTACTACAGGGGGCTATAGGTTGGAACCTGTACTATTTTGGGGTTCAGGGTTTAGGGTTAGGGAGCCACTCTGGCGCAAGGCTACTAGTGCCAGGGCCGTTGCCCCGTAGGAGCGGGGTGCCGATTGCGCCGTGTTCTCACTTTACAGCCATGAGTTCGGAATGGTGGCCTGAAATCAGAGACCTCTTCGGCTTTGCTAGCCAATCCTGGCCAGAACTTCACGGCTCTTTCGCATGCTTTGAGCTTCGTATTGATGGGCCGGAGATTGATACTGGTGATTCGGTGTTGGTCAGGGTTCAGGTTCTCCAGGAGCTTGAGGGTGAGATTCTTCGGGAGGAGGTTCGAGCAACTGGATCCAGGCAACCCGGGCGAAAGGCCGTCTTGAGATTGCCGTACGTGGCGTGGAACCAGGTGGGTAGTCGATGTAGTACACTGCGAGCTTTGTGGACACATGTGACTATTCAGCAAGACATCATCATTCTGGATGCTACAGTGGGGCAAGCATCATTGCCCCTTTGCACCGAACCAGAACCACAAGGTTTAGATCCACAGGGCTTTTTCGACAGAGTTGGCTTTTAAAGACGTTTACAGACTTTTAAAAACTTTCAAATGCAAGAAAAAACATTCTAAAAACTTTTAGAAGACTTTAAAAGACTTTTAGAAACTTTTAGAAGACTTTTGCAAACTTTAAAAGACTTTTCAAAACTTTAAAAGGCTTTTAAAATATTTAAAAGACTTTTAAAAACATTAAAATACATTTAAAAGCTTTAAAAATACTTTAAAAGACTTTTAAACGCTTTTAAAAGCTTTTACAAACTTTAAAAAGAATTTGAAAGACTTTTAAAGACTTTAAACAACTTTTAAAAATTTTTAAAAACTTTAAAACAAAAAAAACTAATGTTTTTTCCGAGAAGACGAGGATGAAGAAGACCTGGCACAGGGTTTACAGTTTCAGGGTCTTTAGGGTTTGGGGTTAAGAAGGCAGAGTGCCATAGTATTAGGGGTTTGAGGGTAATGAAAGGGTTTGGGTTAGAGTTTCAGGGTCTTTTTATATTTAGGGTTTGGGGTTAGAAGGCAGAGTGCCATAGTATTAGGGGTTTGAGGGTAATGAAAGGGTTAGGGTTAGAGTTTCAGGGTCTTTATTATATTTAGGGTTTGGGGTTAGAAGGCAGAGTGCCATAGTATTAGGGGTTTGAGGGTAATGAAAGGGTTAGGGTTAGAGTTTCAGGGTCTTTATTATATTTAGGGTTTGGGGTTAGAAGGCAGAGTGCCATAGTATTAGGGGTTTGAGGGTAATGAAAGGGTTAGGGTTAGAGTTTCAGGGTCTTTATTATATTTAGGGTTTGGGGTTAGAAGGCAGAGTGCCATAGTATTAGGGGTTTGAGGGTAATGAAAGGGTTAGGGTTAGAGTTTCAGGGTCTTTAGTATTTAGGGTTTGGGGTTAGCAGGCAGAGTGCCATAGTGTTAGGGTTTGAGGGTAATGAAAGGGTTAGGGTTAGAGTTTCAGGGTCTTTAGTATATTTAGGGTTTGGGGTTAGAAGGCAGAGTGCCATAGTATTAGGGGTTTGAGGGTAATGAAAGGGTTAGGGTTAGAGTTTCAGGGTCTTTAGTATTTAGGGTTTGGGGTTAGCAGGCAGAGTGCCATAGTGTTAGGGTTTGAGGGTAATGAAAGGGTTAGGGTTAGAGTTTCAGGGTCTTTAGTATTTAGGGTTTGGGGCTAGAAGGCAGAGTGCCATAGTTTTAGGGTTTGATAGTATTAGGGATGCACAAATCGCGTGAAGTGGCTACGAACTGCTGGATGTTGCGCTTTTCTGCGTTGACCACACTGTCAAGCGAATCACGTGCAGGCGAAGCAGGGTACAGCTGGGTGACGCGACAACGTCTGGCACTCTGCCTTCCCAGCTGCTGGCACTCTGCCTTCCCGCCTCAAGATCCATTAATTATTGCCACCCCAACTTTGCACAAAGCTGGTCGGTCAAAGGTATTGCTCCAGCATCAAGGTCAGGAAGTTCCCCCGGACCACCGAGACGGATGGCAACAAGTGAGAGGTGTTTCATCTGAAGGACAAACTGCCGTTGTTGTTCATCTTCGTCGTTCCAAACATAAACAAAATCACAAACGAGAGAAACGCGCGGCAACTCCAGCGGTTCTTCTCCTTCACCCACCTGATAACACTTCGGGAAGGGGCCTTGGTACCGTCGAAGAAGCCTGAGGCCTCCTGTAATGCGGGAGCCAATACGTGGCCAGTAACGCAGGTAGCGAACCATGATTTCCCAAGGCACGTCGTCATAAACTTCATTCCATCTCTCAGCTGGTTTCCACTGGTCAGGCGCTTTGGCCAATTTTTCGCAAGCGGTTTTGATCAAGATTGGGGAGAGCTCGCCTCTGAAGAAACACTCTCCTCGTTCGATCGGGGCGAAATGCATTGCTCTGGACGGCTACTGTTCAGTCACAAGCACGCACGGCTTCAAACCACATGTGCTAGTTTGTGCGGCTTCCGGGTTGTGGCACTCGAAATGATTGTCCATGTGCTTGCACGTGACAAATTCCACATGTGTGAAAATGCGAACATGCTTTCGCAATCCGTCTTCCCCAAGCAGAAACACACAGTCTCTCGGACGCATTCCAATCTAGCAGGACCCGCTGCCATCAATGCAAGCACACAGACAGACACACAACTTTTCTTTGCAGCGCAGGATGAATCCTCTAGTTGTTGCCAGGCCTCCTGGTCGGGCCACAACAGGGCCTATGGTCAATGACGTGTTGTCTGGCCTGCGCTTCTGTCATCTTGGAAGCCACACGTCCCCAGTGATAGGGTACGAGGTGGCTCCACTCGCCTTCAATGCCAGACACACATGGGTTCATGTAATGTGACACAACACACAGCAGATCAGGCAACCACATCGAAGCTATAACAAATGTTCCGAATCTTTCCAAGAGACCGCCGTCTGTCACACGAACTCGGAGAAACCATTTTGCTTTGTCAGTGCCACCAGGATTCGGGTCGTACTTCATCTCACCAGCGATCTTGGGACACTCCGGGCATTGAACAGGTGTCCATACCCCTTGGTAGTCAACACGGTTCGGCCGCCGCTGATGTTGGGGGCCACGGACTGCAACCTCCCGTGGCTCGAGTGCTGGGATAGGCACTGCAGGCACCTCCGGCATCTCAGCAGGAGGGGCTGGCACTCTGCCTTCCTCGGGCTCCACGTGATCATCAGGCTCTGGGACAGGGATTGCAGCAGGCACCTCCGGCATCTCAGCAGGAGGGGCTGGCACTCTGCCTTCCGCGGCCTCCACGTGATTATCAGGCTCCGGCTCCACCGGCACCTCAGCAGGAGGTGCTGGCACTCTGCCTTCTGCTCCCTCTTGACCACTTTCATCAGGAGGCGCGGGTTGCTTCCTGGGCAACATACGTGGGCGACAAATCTTTCTCTTGGCTTTCCGTTTGGCCTGTGGCTTGGCCTTTGCTTTGGTCTTTGCTTTGGCCTTGCCCTTTGCCTTGGCCTTTGCTTGCTGCGTCTTGATGGCCTGCCAGGTTTGATGCACCCTTTTGATTCTGCGTTTTCTGACTGCGTCTGAGACCATTTTAAATTCCTGTTTGTCCTCAGCAAGCAGGTCGTCAAGAACCAGCTCATCAACAAAGTCCCCCATGATAATGTCATCCTCATCCTCATCCTCTGTTGAATCTTTGGCTGTCGAATACATAGCCTCAATTTTGCGCATGAAATCCTCATCTTCCGGAAGGTGATGAGAAGCGATCAGGCTCATGAGCTTTGGACGGCGCATTCGTTGCAGCTCCTTTCGCTTTTTTTCGTCTACGTTTCCAGTCTGGGAGATCACATGCTCGGCGAGATTCTGGCAGTCTGCGAGAGTCCGACATGCTTGTGACATTTCCCTCAGTCGAGTCAGCAAAAACAAGCACAGCAAAACTTATATAAGTTTATTGTACTATTTACTGTATGGGTCGACAGTTGACAGAATCCTAAATGAAAACATGTCACTTGGGATGCTGCAACATATAGGATAGAAGTGACACTGAGCTTGTAGCACAACGACGGAGGCAAATGAAGCCATTCCAGAAGACTGCCTCTGTTTCGATGACTTCCCAATACTGGGGCTCATACAAATGAATCCAGCAGGCCTTGACGCTGGAACCATCCGGGCACTCTGCCTTCAAAACAAAATATATCTCTCCTGTCGACTGGTCCTCATGCTGGACCACTGGCCACATGAGAGCAGCCCAGGTTTTTGCCCCAAGAGAGAGATAGCATGTCAAATCCAAGACATGGTTCAAGATCTTCAAAGGGGCTGCAAGGCTGCTAAACTTCCCAGCACGCAAGGGAACATGCTGAGATGCCAGTCTTGCATCATTGTAGTGAATTAGCCATGACCACGCAGCTGATGCTCGTTCGAGTGTCTCTTCTGACAGGGTGTTCCATGTCTTGTCGCCGACAATCTCGGTATACTGTGACGGCAGCTTGTGGACACATCCTCTGAAGCACAACTTTTGGCGCTTCCTGTCCACATTCCAAAACTCCCTTTCAAAATATTCCCGTTTGACTTTTGCCGGATGCCTGATTGAACGGCTTTCAAAGACGTTTGAATTCTCGATCACAGTTTGAATCGTGGAGTATGTTTGCTTGCGGGTTTTGTTCAACAAAGAATCATTACGAATCTTGTTGTGCACATCTTCCACAATCTTGTTGTCTGGCAGCGTCTGCACCAGAACACTCAGCAGGTGGGTTGCAGGGCATGCTGGTACCGATATTGTTACAGTCCTTTGAGCTGGCACTCTGCCCTCTTGCCCGTCTAACAAAATGTCACCAACTCCGGCACCGTCATCTGCTTCTTCAGGCACAGAATCCTCCATCTCCCCGTCCTGCTCTGTGTCAACATCATCCACGACAATGTCTTCTGACCCCGGAGGCGCCACTTCATATCCCTGTGCCTCCAATGTGTCCAGAAAAAGTCTCGAAGGATGGCTGATTCCAACTTGC